TAATTGTTTTTCCTGGACTTTTGATTGGAAGTCCAAATTTTTAAAATTTTCTCAATACTTTAAAAAAATATAAAAATGATTATTAATTTATATGATTAGGAACACTGATTAAATATGTAATTTATGACATCAATCACAGAAAGGCTTTGATGCAGATATTAAGGAGCAGAGTTTTTGTATGTTTTAAAGTTAAGAATAGGTCAAAGAATAAATCCCAAGAACAATTAAAAATAGTTTTAAAATTAATGAAAAAGAAGAGATTGAAACAAGAGATGCAGAGGAAGCAGGGATCAGAGGGAAATTTATAGGTAAATGTGCTTACCTTTAAAATGAAGAAAGACTTAAATTCAATAACCTAATATTATACCATAAAGAACTGTAAAAAGAAGTCAAACTATACCCAAAGCTGGTAGAAGGAAATAAGATTAGCACAGAGATAAACAAAGTTAAAAGAAATAGCAAATCAATAAAACTGAAAGCTACTTCATTGAAAAGATCAGCAAAATTATCAAAATATGAGCTAAACTGGAAAAAAGGAAAAACAGAATAAATGAAAATAATTAAAATCAGAAATGAACCTAGAGATATTACTAATGGTTTTATAGATATGAAAAGGATTATAAAAATCTATGATAGAAGCGCAGCCAAGATGGCAGAGTAGGAAGACCCTGAGCTCACTTCTTTCCTCTGGCATACCAAAGAGCAGTAATTTATTGCTCTCATTAACTATTAATGAGGATAACCAGAAGACTAGCAGAGAAGACCTTGAATCCACATGCAAAGGAAGCAAATGGGATGGTCACCTTATGACATATACAGAAAATCAAGTAAAAAATCCATCGGAGACTTTTGAAGTAAAACAATAGCACTTTTACAAGAAAACCCTAAGGGAAAATTTCACCACAGTGGATTGTGCTATGATTTCACAGGTAAGACAACAAATGCAAAAGCAGAAAGAAAAAATATACAAATCAGACTTCTTTGAATTAAGAACCTTGTGCAGCAAAAGATACTATTAAGAAAGTGAGATAAAATATGCAGATTGGGAGAAAATCTTTTCAAATTATATATCTGAGAAGGAATGAATGTGCACAATACATAAAAAAAAAAAAAAAAAAAAAAAAAAAAAACCTGCCCAACTCAATATCAATGACAACAACAACAAAAATCTAACTGAAAAGTGAAAAAGTACTTGAATAGACTTTTACAAAGAAGATACAAATGGTCAAAAGTACACAAAAAGAAGCTCATTTATCATTATGGAAATGCAAATCAAAAGCACACAGAAGTAACACTTCACTCATTAAGATAGCTATTATCAGAAAAGAAAATATAAAAAAAAGGAAAATAACAAGTGTTGGTGAGAAGTGGTAACAAGCTGGTAAGTTGGTAACAAGCTGGTAACAAGTGTTGGTGAGAAGAAAATCACAAGTGTTGGTTCTCTACCAACGTGTTGGTAGAGAAATGGAACTTGGTGTACTGCTACTAGGAGTGCAAAATGATGCATCTGCTGTGGAAAACATTCCTGTGGTTTCTGCAAAGTTAAACATAGGATCAGATGATCTAGAAATTCTAATCTTGGTCCTTGTATTGAAAGGAATGGAAATCAGGGATTAAAACATACATTTGCACATCAATAATCATACCCATTTGAATGCAGAGTTCCAAAGAGTAGCAAGGAGAGATAAGAAAGCCTTCCTCAGTGATCAATGAAAAGAAATAGAGGAAAACAATAGAATGGGAAAGCCTAGAGATCTCTTCAGGAAAATTAGAGATACCAAGAAAACATTTCTTGCAATGATGGACACAATAAAAGACAGAAATGGTATGTACTTAACAGAAGCAGAAGATATTAAGAAGAGGTGGCAAGAATACACAGAAAAACCATACGAAAAAGATATTCATGACATAGATAAACACAAGGTGTGATCACCGACCTAGAGACAGGTATTCTGGAATGTGAAGTCAAGTGGGCCTTAGAAACATCACTACTAACAAAGCGGGGATGGGGGGGTGATAGAATTCCAGTTGAGCTATTTCAAATCCTAAAAGATGGTGCTATGAAAGTGCTGTACTCAATATGCCAGCAAATTTGTAAAACTCAGCAATGGCAACAGGACTGGAAAAGGTCAATTTTCATTCCAATCCCAAAGATAGTCAATACCAAAGAATGCTCAAACTACTGCAGAATTGTACTCATCTCACATGTTAATGAAGTAATGCTCAAAATTCTCCAAGCCAGGCTTCAACAGTACATGAGCCATGGACTTCCAGATGCTCAAGCTGGTTTTAGAAAAGGCAGAGGATACAGAAATCAAATTGTCAACATCCTTTGGATCAGTGAAGAAGCAAGAGAGTTCCAGAAAAAACATCTACTTCTGCTTTATTGCATGTGCCAAAGCCTTTGATTGTGTGGATCACCACAAACTCTGGAAAATTCTTAAAGAGATGGGAATACCAAACCGCCTGACCAGCCTCTTGAGAAATATGTATGCAGGTCAGGAAGCAACAGTTAGAACTGGACATGGAATAACAGACTACTTCCAAAAAGGGAAAGGAGTATGTCAAGGCTGTATACTGTCACCATGCTTATTTAACTTATATGCAGAGTACATCATGAGAAATGCTGGAATGGATGAAGCACAAGCTGGAATCAAGATTGCTGGGAGAAATATCAATAATCTCAGATATGCAGATGACACCATCCTTATGGCAGAAAGTGAAGAAGAACTGAAGAGCCTCTTGATGAAAGTGAAAGAGGAGAGTGAGAAAGTTGATGTAAAACTCAACATTCAGAAAACTAAGATCATGGCATCCGCTCCCATCACTTCATGGCAAATAGATGGGGAAATGGTGGAAACAGTGGCTGACTTAATTTTCTTGGGCTCCAAAATCACTGCAGATGGTGACTGCAGCCTTGAAATTAAAAGACGTTTGCCCCTTGAAAGAAAAGCTATGACCACCCTAGACAGCATATTAAAAAGCAGAGACATTACTTTGCCAGCAAAGGTCCATCTAGTCAAAGCTATGGTTTTTCCAGTAGTCATGTATGGATGTGAGAGCTTGACTATAAAGAAAGCTGAGCGCTGAAGAATTGATGCTTTTGAACTGTTTTGTTGGAGACTCTTGAGAGTGCGTTTTGGATTGCAAGGAGATCTGCAAAAAGATCCAACCAGTCCATCTTAAAGGTAATCAATCCTGAATATTCACTGGAAGGACTGATGCTGAAGCTGAAACTCCAATACTTTGGCCACCTGATGTGAAGAACTGACTCATTTGAAAAGACCCAGATGCTGGGAAAGATTGAGGGCAGGAGGAGAAGGGGACGACAGAGGATGAGATGGTTGGATGGTATCACTGACTCAGTGGACATGAGTTTGAGTAAACTCTGGGAGTTGGCGATGGACAGGGAGGCCTGGCGTGCTGCAGTCCATGCGGTAGCACAGAATCGGACAAGACTGAGCGACTGAACTGAACTGAACTGAATCATAGAAACAATATTTATGATAGCAAAATGTATGGATGAAGAATTTTTATTTTCTGAGGGTTAATATTGCTTATTTATTTATTTTTATTTTTATGGGAGTATAGTTGCTTTACAATGCTGTGTTAGTTTCTACTGTGCAGCAAAGTGATTCAGCTATATATATACATATATCCCTTTTTGGTGGATTTCATTCATATTTAGGTCACCACAGAGCATTGAGTAGAGTTCCCTATGCTTTATAATAGGTTCTCATTAGTTATCTATTTTATACATAGTATTACTAGTGTATATATGTTGTCAATCCCTATCTCCCAATTCATTCCACCTCACTTCCCCCTGGTATCCATACATTTGTTCTCTATACCTGTGTCTCTATTTCTGCTTTGCAATTTATATATATATATATATATGCATAATGTATATATATATATATATTTATATATATATGTATATGTGTGTGTATATATATATACATATATATATATGGGCTTCCCTGGTGGCTCAGATGGTAAAGAATCCACATGCAATGCAGGAGACCTGGGCTCAATCCCTGAGTTGGGATGATCCCTTGGAGGAGTGCATGGCAACCCACTCCAGTATTATTTCCTGAAGAATCCCCATGGACAGAGCAGTCTGGTGGGCTACAGTCCATGGGGCTGCAAAGAGATGGACATGACTGAGCAACTAAGAACCCATATATATATATATGTATATATATGTATGTATATATATATATGTATATATGTATGTATATATAATGAAACATTGTTCAATCTTAAAAAAGAAAGGGAATTCTGATATGTTGCAACATGTATGAACCCTGAAATAAAATAATGCTAAGTCAGAGGAAGACAAATATTGCATGGTTCCACTTGTACTTGTTACCTCAAGTAATCAAATTTATAGAGACAGAAAGTAGAACAGAAGCTATCAGGGACTGGGGTATGAGAAGAATACAGAGTTATTTAATTATACAGAAGTGATATGAGGGATGATGAAAATATTCAGTGTGCAGTTAGAGTTGAAAGTTACACACCACTGTGGATGCTTTTAATGCCACCAGACTCAATAGTTACAATACTTTAAAATGAAAAATATCATTACTAATATTTTACTATTGAGTCTCTGTTACTAGTAACTATATTAAAATAAGATCAAAGAGGTAAATAACAACCCTCCCCTTTGCCTCTGAAAATTTTGTTTCAAAAATCCCCTTTACCAGAGTAGCCTAGTAATACCAGTATATAGTTTCAGATACAGATTGTCATTTTTCTTCATCTACAAGTTAGATTTAATCCAAGGACGATAACCTATTGACTAGGATTGTTGCAAGCCTTAGAAAATATGGTTGTAGTGTCAATGGTTTAAAAACATTCATTACCTAATCACTTAGGACCTCAGTTTGCTTGTGTATTATCTGAAGGCATCAGACCTGATTAATCCGAGGTTAACTGCCTTCTTTTGACAGGATGTGATTCTAAAAATCTTCTAATAACGACATTTATCTTAATAGGTTCTGTGGAGATACACAGGAAAGAAACCAGAAACATTAGGAGCCAATACCCGACTATATAAATGGATTCCTCAGAATGATCTTCTTGGTAAGACCAAAGAAAGTAAAATAAACAGAGCTGAATGAGGGATAATGTGAATCATTATCACATTAACAGATAAATAACAGATAACAGATAAATATCTGCTCAATAACAGATAAATCCAATAAACTTGTATTTAAAATTATAATAATTAAAAAAACTTTAATGTTTTCTTCACATTTCTTCTGGAGTTTGTCAAAGAACAGATTATTCCTGACACTTTTTAAAGACTAAGGCAAACTTTTCTCAAAACCATCATAATCAGTATCGTTATTAGTGTAATGGACTTTTATAATATGACAGAGAGCCTGGATTCAACGCTGCATGCAGAAAAGAAAATAGGAGAATTTATCACAAAAGAGCATAGTGAGTGGAAGTTCACTGTATGGAAAATTAGAAAGAGGAAATGTCAGGTGCAAAGGAACAGTCTAGCAGAACTAACCTAATTAGATTCTTACTGAAGGCATGCTAAGGCCATCACATATCACTTGGGGGATAGTGAAAGAAGAGGTGATAACTGTAAAAGATGGTCAGACATCAAGACTGATCTGTTAAACTGACTTAGTAGAGTGCTTGCTAAAATTGGGCAATGCAGAGATAAAGGAGACCCAAAATTAAATTCTAGTGGAGAAGAGTTCAGGGAAGTCTGACTAGACTTTGGCCAAGGATCTTTGTCAAACTGTAACACAAATATCAAATTTATAATTCTCTCATTTATGATATAGTCTTTCCCTCCTCAGAATCAAAGTCGAACAAGGTATCTTTATATCAGGCTCCCATTAACTTTTGTATAGAATATTGCAAAAACCTCCTGATTCTTCATCCATTTCACCACACTTCTCTTCTCTTTTGCCTACTACAACTGTATGGGAAAAAAAAAAATCTGGCAAAACATTACATGATCTATAATACAATTGGCTCTCTATTACTATAGAGTTAAATGCTTAAACAGAGTAAACATGTAATTTCTATAGCCTTTTTCTATGATACACTCAATATACCAGCAAATCTGGAAAATACAGCAGTGGCCACAGGACTGGAAAAGGTCAGTTTTCATTCCAATCCCAAGAAAGGCAATGCTCAAGCTATCACATAATTGCACTCATCTCACACGCTAATAAAGTAATGCTCAAAATTCTCCAAGATTTCTTCAAGCTAGGCTTCAACAATACATGAACTGTGAACTTCAAGATATTCAAACTGGTTAAAGAAAAGGCAGAGGAACCAAAGATCAAATTGCCAACATCCATTGGATCATCAAAAAAGCAAGAGAGTTCCAGAAAAATATCTATTTCTGCTTTATTGACTATGCCAAAGCCTTTGACTGTGTGGATCACAATAAACTGTGGAAAATTCTGAAAGAGATGGGAATACCGGACCACCTGACCTGCCTCTTGAGAAACCTATATGCAGGTCAGAAAGCAACAGTTAGAACTGGACATGGACCAACAGACTGGTTCCAAATAGGAAAAGGAGTACGTCAAGGCTGTATGTTGTCACCCTGTTTATTTAACTTATATGCAGAATATATCATGAGAAACACTGGAATGTATGAAGCACAAGCTGAAATCAAGATTGCTGGGAGAAATATCAATAACCTCAGATATGCAGATGACACCACCCTTATGGCAGAAAGCGAAGAAGACTTAAGAGCCTTTTGATGAAAGTGAAAGAGGAGAGTGAAAAAGTTGACTTAAACTCAGCATTCAGAAAACTAAGATCATGGCATCTGCTCCCATCACTTCGTGGCAAATAGATGAGGAAACAGTGGAAACAGTGGCAGACTTTATTTTTGGAGGTTCCAAAATCACTGCAGATAGTGATTGCAGCCATGAAATTAAAAGATGTTTACTCCTTGGAAGAAAAGTTATGACCAAACTAGACAGCTTATTAAAAAGCAGAGACATTACTTTGCCAACAAAGGTCCGTCTAGTCAAGGCTATGGTTTTTCCAGTGGTCATGTATGGATGTGAGAGCTTGATTCGAGCTGCAGTCCATGGAGTCGCAAAGGGTTGGACACGACTGAGCAGCTGAACTGAACTGAACTGATGCTAACATTCTGGTAGTGAAACCCTGTACATCTCACCACCCCTTTCCCAAAAACAATAATATTTTCCCACTAACAAAAATATTTGGTTTCTTCAGCCCTCCATTCTTTTTTATTGATATGTTCTACCTCCAATAACTTGTCAAATGACAAATACTTTTCATCATTTATTCTGCAGGAAACTTCTCAGTTGTCTCTAGAAAGACTTACCTGCCATAATCACTAATTATACTTCAGTTCAGTTCAGTTCAGTCACTCAGTCATGTCCGCCTCTTTGCGATCCCATGAATTGCAGCACGCCAGGCCTCCCTGTCCATCACAAACTCCCGGAGTCTACCCAAACCCATGTCCATTGAGTCGGTGATGGCATCCAGCCATCTCATCCTGTGTCGTCCCCTTCTCCTCCTGCCCACAATCCCTCCCAGCATCAGGGTCTTTTCCAATGAGTCAGTTCTTCACATCAGGTGGCCAAAGTATTGGAGTTTCAGCTTCAGCATCAGTTCTTCCAATGAATACCCAGAACTGATCTCCTTTAGGATGGACTGGTTGGATCTCCTTGCAGTCCAAGGGACTCTCAAGAGTCTTCTCCAACACCACAGTTCAAAAGCATCAATTTTTCAAAACTCAGCTTTCTTCACAGTCCAACTCTCACATCCATACATGACCACTGGAAAAGCTATAGCCTTGACTAGAAGGACCTTTGTTGGTAAAGTAATGTCTCTGCTTTTTAATATGCTGTCTAGGTTGGTCATAACTGTCCTTCCAAGGAGTAAGTGTCTTTTAATTTCATGACTGCAATCACCATCTGCAGTGATTTTGGAGCCCCCCAAAATTATACATATATATATATATATACTTATATATATAATTATACTAATTATACTTAGCCTGGAGTAATTAATTGCTGCTTTCTTTGGAGCCTATTAGAATTTGTATGAAGGCTCATGGCACAGAATTATATAGAAGATTCATTTAATAGAATTAATGATTTATGAAGGTATCATGATTTTCTTTTTCTGACACTGTTATGACTTAGAATAATTTTTTTTTTTTTAATTTTTAGGTCATCCCAAAACCAGAGCTTTTATCACTCACTGTGGAACCAATGGGATCTATGAAGCTATTTACCACGGGGTCCCTATGGTTGGAATTCCTATGTTTGGTGACCAGCATGATAATGTTGCTCGTATGAAAGCCAAAGGGGCAGCTGTTGAAGTAGACTTGCAAAGAATGACAAGTGCAGATCTGCTTAATGCTTTGAAAGCAGTTATTAACAACCCTTTGTGAGTTGAGTTTATATTCTTTTCTAAGAAGGAGCATCTTGTTTCTTGCAGAATAATCAGTTTCATAAATTTTTTAATTGCTAACTTTTACATAATCACCAGCACATATCTAGTAGCAAAATAGATTATTTTATGCTTCCTAAATGTTGTGGAAGTACTTTGTCACCTACCACTAATGGGTGATTGATTACAATCTTGAAGAAATACTACATTTATTTAAAGAAAATGAGCTATTGTTGAAAACATACACATTTCTATTAATAATAGTACTTTTATTTATAACCCTCTTAAAAATTGTAGATATTATAACTATAAAGAGTTTAGGCAATATGACAAAAACAAAGGTAAATAAAAATAAAAACTCACTCAACTCTCCTCATGTAGCTATAATCAATGACAGTTTAGAAACTTCTGCTATTTCCTTGTGCTTATTTATAAATAGAAAATAATATAATGAATTTTCTTAAAAAATAGAACTATATTTGTTAGTTAAAAATTTCTTATATTGGATTTATTTTAAAATAAATCAGAGAAAGAGAATGAAGGAAAATTGAGATTCAAATGGAGGTAGAGAAGACCCCAGCCTCCTCATCCCCTGACAAAGAACAACAATTAGACACTATTCATGAACAAAATCATTTCTGGGAGTGCCCTAAATGCCATGTAAGAAATTTTAGCAACACAGTAGAACAAAAAAACTGAGATAAATCACACAAGAACAGAGTGATGCCAGTTTTATTTTACCAGCATCATCCCCAAGCCAGCATTACTCATCCCTGAGAGAGAACTTTCAGCTAGAAAGAATTCCTTGGCAGAAAAAGAAGAATGGGTTGAGTTAGCAATTTCTAAAGCCTCTGGGGCACAGAAATAGAAAAACAAATTCTAAATTTGTATGCAACCACAAAAGATCACAAACAGCCAAAGCAATACCAAGAAATAATTAAGTTGGAGGCATCCCACTTCTTATTTCAAACTGTACTACCAAGCTATAGTAATTTGTAAAAGATGCCATTGGGATAAAAATAGACATACAGACCAATGGAAAGGATTGACAGCCCTGAAGCAAACCCTCATATGTAAAGTTGAAAAATTTTTGAAAAAAAAAAAAAGTGAAGAATACTCAATAGGAAAAGTGTTATCTATTCAATAAGTAGTAATAGGGAAACTACATAATTATATGCAGGAGAGTGAAATTTGGACCCCCACATTACATTACTCACACAAATTGACTAGAAATAGACCAAAGACTTAAGCAAAAGACCTGAAACCATAAAGCTGCTATCTTAAACCAGGAGGAAAAGTTCCTTGACAAGGGTCTTAGAAACAAATTTTGGGATATGACACCAAAAATACAAGGAACCAATGCAAAGCTCAATAGGTGGGACTGTATCAAGCTCAAAAACTTCTGCACAGCAAAATAAATGGAAAGGTTGCTGCTGAATAATAAGACGCTGGGATTCTTGGCCTGCGGAGGAGATGAATTCAATCCGGGGCCAGAGACAAGGCTGGATCCCTCAGAGCTTTTGTGTAGTAAAGTTTTATTAAAGTATAAAGGAGAGAGAGAAAGCTTCTGACATAGGCATCAGAAGGGGGCACAAAGAGTACCCACCCTTCTAGTCTTTAGCTGTTGTTATATAGTCACTCACAGTCTGTTAATGAAAAGAAAGGAATGTCTTAAAATTTAGAATGGCACCAGATAATTCATCCCCGGCCATAAAATGATTGACTTGAATCTTGTAGAAGGGCAGATTACCAAACAAATAGTTTTGTTTACATAGATTAGGGGAACAATATCTGAGTAAATAGATTGGGCCATTTGGTGGAACTTACAGAGTCTGGGGTAAATTAACATATCTTAAGACAAACATTTCCATAAGAAAAAAATGTATTGATTAACTCAAGATTTGAGAATAGTTAGCTTCAGGTGAAACCAGGCGTCATGGCAACACAACATTTTAAGAGAAATGTCCTTTTAAATTTGTATAGAGAAGAAAAAAATATCGCTGGTTTGTTTCCTCCTTCCGCTTAAGAGAGATAAAAATGTCTGGCACTTGCAGCCTATTTCCTCTGTTTGGAGACCACTGGCCTTCCTGCCTGTTACCCTCTCAAAATGATCTATAAAATGAAAGGGAAGCTACAAAATTGGAGAACACTTTGAAAAGTATACATCTGATAAGAGATTAACATACAAATGATATAAGGAACTCATTACTCCATAGCAAAAAAAAAAAATTTTTTTTGTTAATGAGCAGAGGTACTGAATAGATGTTTTCCCAAAGAAGACATGCAAATGGCCAACAGGTACATGAAAAGGGGCTTCAAGTCACTAAGCATCAGGAAATACAAATCAAAATCCCACCTCATACCTGTTACAATTGTTGATGCTGTTCATTCACTAAGTTGTGTCCAGCTCTGCGACCCTACAGACTGCAGCATGCCAGTCTCTTCTGTCCTCCACTATCTCCCAAAGTTTTCTCAAATTCATGTTCATTGAGTTGGTGATGCTATCTAACCATCTCATCCTCTGCCACCCCCTTCTCCTTTTGCCTTCAATCTGCACCAGTATCAGGGTTTTTTCTAATGAGTTGGCTCTTTGCATCAGGTGGCCACAGTTTTGGAGTTTCAGCCTTAGCACCAGCCCTTCCAGTGAATATTCAGAGTTGATTTCATTAAAATTGACTGGTTTGATCTCCTTGTGGTCCAAGGGACTCTCAAGAGTCTTCTCCAGCACCACAATTAAAAGCATCAAATCTTTGGTGCTCAACCTTCTTTATGGTCCAGTGGTAAAGAATCCATGTGTCAATGCACATGCCATGGGAGATGCAGGTTCAATCCCTGAGTTGAGAAGATTCCTTGGAGTAGAAAATGGCAATCCATTCAGGTATTCTTGCTTGGAAAATTCCTTGGACAGAGGAGCCTGGGAGGGCTACAGTCCATGGAGTCTCAAAGAGCCAGACTTGACTGAACACACATGCACAAAGTAACATTCATACATGACTACTAGAAAAATCATAGCTTTGACAATGTGGACCTTTGTTGGCAAAGTGATGTCTCTGCTTTTTAATACACTGTCTAGGTTTATCATAGTTTTCCTTCCAAGGAGCAAGCTTCTTTTAATTTCATGGCAGCAGTCACTGACTGTAGTGATTTTGGAGCCCAAGAAAGTTAAATCTACCACTGCTTCCAATTGTTCCCCTTCTATTTGACATGATGTGATGGAACTGGATGCTGTGGTCTTAGTTTTTTGAATACTGAGTTTCAAACCAGCTTGAAACTGTTAGAATGGTCATCATCAAAATACAAGGTCTACGAGGTATTGTTGAGGATGTAGAAAAAGAGGAACTCCAGTGCACTCTAGGTGGGAATGTAATTTGATTACAGTCCTTATGGAAACTAGTATGGGAACTCCTCAAAAGATTAACAATAGAACTACTAGATGATCCACTGGAGAAGAAATAGGTTACCCACTCCAGTATTCTTGGGCTTCCCCTGTGGCAGAGCTGGTAAAGAATCTGCCTGCAATGTGGCAGAGCTGGGTTTGATCCCTGGGTTGAGAAGATCCCCTGGAGAAGGGAAAGATGACCCACTCCATTATTCTGGACTGGAGAATTCCCTGGACTGTATAGATCATGGGGTAGCAAAGAGTTGGACACGACTGAATAACTTTCAGAGAATTTCACTCACTAAGACTGAGTAATCTCATTTCTGGATATATATCTAAGGAAATGAAAACAGAATGTGGAAGAGATATCTTCACCCCAGTGCTAATTGCAGCATGATTCATGGTAATGAATATATGACTAAAACCTAAGTGTTTGTCAGTGGATGAATAAAGAAGATGTCATATATGTATGTAAAGGAACATTATTCAGCAAATAGGACAAAGGAAATACTGTCATTCATGAAAACATGGCATTGTGCTAAGTGAAGTAAGTCAGACAGTGACTTACTTACTGACAGTAAGTTAGACAAATATTATTCAACATCACTTATACATGTAATCTAGAAATTCAGAGAGCAGAGTGGTGTTTTCAGGGCCTAGGACTTGGGAGACTGGTGAGGCAAGCTTTGAATAATAGGGCACAGGTCTGAGTAATAAAATAAATAAGTTCTGGAGGAACTTTTTACAACATGGTGATTAGCTGTGATCATAAACAAATAAATTCTCAATAATGAAAGATTACATTTATTATGTAATTCTATTTCATATAAATAAAACAAATATATTCTTTGGAAAAAGAAACTATATTAAAATTAAAAGATTTGCCAGGCTGGGATAAATATTTCTTTACTATCAGATAAATTCTTACTAAAAACTTTACATAAATCTATAAATAAGCATTGACATTAAAGATTAAAATAATTTTAAAAATATTTCATTTTTTTTCAGTATTGAATGGCTTTTCACTATGAAGTCACTTAACTTCCTATCAGTATCTCTCTTTTTGGGTTAACTTATTTTTAATTGGAGAATAATTGCTTTACAATGTCATATTGGTTAGTGAATCATCCTTAAGTATACTTATATTCCCTCCCTCTTGAGCCTCCCTCTGACCCCCATCCCATCCCATCTCTGTGTCTGTGTGTGTCGCTCAGTCATGTCCGAGTCGTTGTGGCCACATGGCTCATCAGGCTCCTCTGTCCATGGAAATCTCCAGGCAAGATTACTGGAGTGGGTTGCCATTTCCTTCTCCAGAGAATCTTCTGACCCAGGGATCAAACCTCAGTCTACTGCATCTCCTGCATTGACAGGCAATTTTTTTTTTTTTTTTTCCCCTGAGCCACCTAGGAAACCCCAGAGCACCAGGCTGAGCTCCCTGGGTTATACAGCAACTTCTAACTGGCTTTATCTTCTTTAAACATGGTGTGTATATACATCAGTGTTACTCTTTCAGTTCATCCCAAGCCTTCCTACCCTGGCTGTATCCAGAAGTGTGTTCTCTATGTCTGCATTTCTATTCCTATTGTACAAGTGGGGTTATCAGTACACTTTTTCTAGGTTCCAATATTAATAGATGATGCTTGTTTTCCTCTTTCTGACTTACATCACTCTGTAAAACAGGCCCCAGGTCCCATCAGTGTGCTTTAAACATCACATCTTAGATTAGTTTGCTATATTATCAGTGTAATATTATCAAAGTTGACAATGTGCATATCTTGTCCATGACCATAATTTCCAATATCATTTAGCATTAGTTTCAGATTTATATTGATTTAATGATGCAATTTGTGTTTTATCATAGTTTTTCAATTTATTTTATTAACTTTTTATCTGATAAATATTTTGTTACTGTGTCTGTCTTGGCACTTCTGTTGATATTGTTTGTTTTCCTGAGATGTATTCAGAGGTACTTATTCCTTATATTCTTGTGTATTTAGAAAGCCCTGCCTGGTTTTTTAAAACAAAAGGGGAAAAGGGTTTTGTTTAAGATTTTCTGGTTTATAGTTCTCTTCCTCAGAACTTTTTACATGTTGTTCCACCATTTTTTACAAGGTAATATTCTGTATTTTCTATCAATGATGACTGCACTTCAGTGTGGGTGAATAACCCCCCTCCTTCACAAACCCAAGGAAATCGTGCTTCTAAGTCAGCCATTCAAAGCTTTAAACCAAAACCCTGGTCTGTTCCTTGACAGAAGTTAGAAAGATTGGTGTTCTAACAATTGCCATCCTTCCATCTCACCACTGCATGTGCAGCCCTCGGTAGCCTGAAGCAAAAGAGGGCTAGCATCTATTCAGTCTCAGGCCCTACTTCTTGCCCAGAGGGTCACATGGAGCTTTTTTGCATCTGGAATGTCAGGACCATGGAGATCACAGACCAAAACCATTTCCAGTTACTATTGAAGTCTTGTTAACACTGATGCTCCAGATCGAAACTGGGGAAGAGGGAAGGGGTGAGAGAAGGATTCCTTTTTTACAGATCTGCCCTCAATGCTGCTTCCTGACACTATCATGTTCCCAATGCCACACTCAGCAAGTGAGATCAAAATTCTATATTCTCAAGCTACATATTAATCCATTCCTATTTCTGTACTTCCAGAATGCTATTTCCAACTGGCAATTATTTTCTCTCCTACCTCCAATAATTACTGAGACTATAAAGCATCCAATACATTCCAACTGATAGGCCATCATATCTAGAAATATCTCAAGAGGAAACAAATTTTCATATGCTTTCTGTAGTCTCAGTGATATCATTTATCACACAACAGATCATATAATTATGCAATATACTTTTAACAATATACAACAGTTTTAGGTATATGGTGTCCTTAATAAACTTTTCAAGTTGTTATTTATATATTCAATTTTAGCTATAAAGAGAATGCTATGAAGTTATCAAGATTTCACCATGATCAGCCTGTGAAATCCCTGGACCGAGCAGTCTTCTGGGTTGAGTTTATCATGCGCCATAAAGGAGCCAAGCACCTTCGCCCAGCCTTCCATGACCTCACCTGGTACCAGCACCGCTCTTTGGATGTGATTGGCTTCCTGCTAGCTTGTGTGGCAACTGCTGCATTCCTGGTCACTAAATGTTGCCTGCTTTTTTGCTGGAAGTTTGGTAAAACTGCAAAGAAGAAAAAGAAAGAGTAGTATTTTTTTTTTTTTTTTTTTACAGCAGTTGGCCTGGAATTCTTGGAATGGTTCATTGAAGTAACAAGCCATTGATTAGTATAGATTCCTCTCCTACTCCACTGGATTCTTATCCATTCCTCAGTTTATCAAGCCAAAGATCAAAGACTTACACCCAAAATATGCCACATGATTCAGAAATAAACTTTAAAAATAATCTATTCTTGAAAAAGAGAATATAAACAATTAAACAAATGGAAGTTACTACCATGAAAAGCTCAGTGTTTTATTTATTGATTTTAGTTCAACCAGTTGAGCTGCTGTTTGAGGTCTTAGGAACATAATGATTAATTCTATTTTCAGTATTGAACATATTGAATATTTCCTGAAGATCTAACACGATTTGGGGTTCAGTGTGGGCTCATTATTACTCACTCTCTAAAGAAACTGGACAAGGAGTAGTGTAGAGTACAGTCTAGCCAGAGCTTCCCTTCCAGTCAGGAAGATCAGGAGACTCAGAGTCTCTACTCTACGGTACCGCACATTTTGCTGCCTGCTGCCCGCTAAATCACTTCAATCATGGCCGACTCTTTGTGACACCCGTACAGGGTGTTCCCTACCTGGCTCCACTGTCCATGGGATTCTCCAGGCAAGAATACTAGAGTGGGTTGTCATTCCCTTCTCCAGGGGATCTTCTCAACCCAAGGATCGAACCTGTATCTCTTGTGTCTCCTGCATCCATAGGCAAATTCTTTACCACTAGTGCCACCTGGGAAGCCCTAAAGCACATTTTACACCATCAATTTTCTTTCAGATGACACATCAGACTTTTTCCCGTTTGTAAACACTATTTTCCATCTTTCATTTCAAGATTCCCCTTCATTTGGATATTAATAGTGATAATACTTCATTTGTATTATATTAGTAACCCTTCCTGGCTTCAGAGAACTAGCTGATTATCATATGTTAGCAAGGTTGATGGTACAATGGACAAAAGTAAATGATTAGAGTTTAATACCTACCCTTTTAAATTAACTTAAAAATCTATTTCTTTCCAAATTAATTTTACTTACAAAGTACATAAGCGAAAAAGAAGAAGCAAACTACTAAAAAGCCACACTGCAAATACTTTTGGAGGAATATGTATTTCTCAAAAATGCTATTTGCTCTGTGGATAATTTCTCCAATAAATGGAAACCTGGGAGTTTGCACATTTCTTCCTTTTCCTTTGTCTCATCACTTTTCCTGGTCCTCTCATGAACTGTACTGTGACCACTAAACTAAGCACAAGTACCTAGACATCTTATTAACTAGTGCCAGCCAGAAATCTGCAGTAACATGAGGATAAAAGTTGATTTTTAATAAAAATAAAGATGTATTTTCCTTTCTTTTCTAAAAAAAAATCAATCTTCCAGTATGTTGCCCTTGAGATCTATCCTCCAGTATGTTTTGACCTTGAGATCAAAAAATTATTCGGTCTTACTGTGATAGCATTACACAGTAGTAATCAAGTTCATTAAATGATCTACCACAGATTTTGATATTTATAATCCAAGCTTGCATCTGTATCTTAGAATAATTATAAACCACTTGGGCAGTTATCTGCTTTTTACAACAACAGTAGCACAAATAACAACAAGGTAAAGATAAATTTATTTTTAGATGTGGAATTAACTATAAAGAGATTTTCTCAATTGTATGATGTTTTGAATAATTAATTATAACGTTTTAAGGTATACAGTTTAAAAAGTGTAAACATACTTTTATCTTGCTTATGATAAAATTAATGTAACCAAACCTACAATTTACCACAGCGCTATATTCTGGCAATAAGATAATGTACTTTCCTAAAATATTCTTTAAAATCATAATTTAATCTTTTATTACTTTCTACCAACGTCAAGGTATACCATCACTTTTTTTAAATTACCAAATGAGGTGGCATAAGGAATTTAAGCACACTCACGATATGGATACCTTGAAAAATTTATGAGTTTATTCAAAAGAACTACCATAACAAATAAATGAATAAATTTTATCATGTAGAGACCAATGCTTTTCTTAACCACAAGTTTCACCTATTTAAATATCTATACATTATTATATTAAATACATTAACAACATGGCAGTAATTTTAGGTATGCACAAGCTAAACCTTTGTAACATGTCATATATTTCCAGTTTAAGTTTGACAAAATATTTTTCAGAAGTTTGATGATCTCTGATTTTTCTTGTCAGTTAAAATAGCAAACTTTAATATACTTTATTTTTTTAAATATTTACACTCGATATGTGACTATTTTATGAAATCCTGCTCAAGTTTCTTCTCAGTCATGACAACAGAAAACGTTAATGTGCTGTGCTGTGCTAAGACCTCATTTGTGTCTGATTCTCTATGACCCTATGGACTGTAGCCTGATAGGCCTCTCTGTTCAGGTAAGAATACTGAAGCAGGTTGCCATTTCCCGCCCCCACTCCACCGCCCCTCAGGGTATCTTCCGGATCCAGGAATTGAATCTGAGTCTCTTAGGTCTCCTGCATTGGCAGGTGGGCTCTTTAACACTAATGCCAACTGGGAAGCTGGAAAATGCTTATAGAGGGATGCAAATATTTTGCACATGTGGCTCAGATCATGAACTTCTTATTACAAAATTCAGGCATAAACTGAAGACAGTAGGGAAAAATCACTATACCATTCAGGTATGACCTAAATAAATCCCTTATGATTATACAGTGAAGTGACAAATAGATTCAAAGGATCATATCTGATAGATAGAGTGCCTGAAGAACTATGGATGGAGGTTCGTAACTTTGTACAGGAGGCAATGATCCAAACCATATCTAAGAAGAAATGCAAAAAGGCAAAATGGTTGTCTGAGGAGGACTTACAAATAGCTGAGAAAAGAATACAAGCCTAAAGGCAAAGGAAAAAAGGAAAGATATACCCATTTGAATACAGGGTTCTAAAAAACACCAAGGAGAGATAAGAAAACCTTCCTAAGTGATCAATACAAAGAAATAGAGGAAAACAATAGTATGGTAAAGATTAGAGATCTCTTCAAGAAAATTAAAGATACCAAGGGAACATTTCATGCAAAGATAGGCTCAATAAAGGAGAGAAAAGGCATGGGCATAACAGAAGCAGAAGATAACAAGAAAAGATGGCAAGAAAACACAGAAGTATACAAAAAAGATCTTAATGACCCAGATAACCATGATGGTGTGATCACTCACCTAGAGCCAGACATCCTGGAGTACAAAGTCAAGTGGGCCTTAGGAAGTGTCATTATGAACAAATTCCACCTCAACTATTTCAAATCCTAAAGATGGTGCTGTGAAAGTGCTGCATTAAATATTCCATCAAATTTGGAAAACTCAGTAGTGGCCACAGGACTGGACAAGGTCAGTTTTCATTTCAATCTCAAAGAAGGGCAATGCCAAAAGATGTTGAAACTAAAACACAACTGCACTCATCTCAGTTCAGTTCAGTCACTCAGTTGTATCCGACTCTTTGTGACCCTATGAACTGCAGCACGCCAGGCCTCCCTGTTCATTACCAACACCCGGAGTTCACCCAAACCGATGTCCATTGAGTCGGTGATACCATCCAACCATCTCATCCTCTGTCATCCCCTTGTCCTCCTGCCCCCAATCCCTCTCAGCATCAGGGTCTTCTCCAATGAGTCAAATCTTAGCATGAGGTGGCCAAAGTACTGGAGTTTCAGCTTCAGCATCAGTCCTTCCAATGAACACCCAGGACTGATCTCCTTTAAGATGGACTGGTTGGCTCTCCTTGCAGTCCAAGGGACTCTAAAGAGTCTTCTCGAATACCACAGTTCAAAAGCATCAATTCTTCAGCACTCAGCTTTCTTTATAGTCAAGCTCTCCCATCCATATATGACTACTGGTAAAACCATAGCCTTGACTAGACAGACCTTTCTTGGCAAAGTAATGTCTCTGCTTTTGAATATGCTCTCTAGGTTGGTCATAATTTTTCTTCCAAGGAGTAAGCATCTTTTAATTTCAGGGCTGCAATCTCCATCTGCAGTGATTTTGGAGCCCCCAAAATAATGTCAGCCACAGTTTCCACTGTTTCCCCATCTATTTGCCATGAAGTGATGGGAGCGGATGCCATGATCTTAGTTTTCTGAATGTTGAGCTTTAAGCCAACATTTTCACTCTCCTCTTTCACTTTCATCAAGAGGCTCTTTATTTTTTCACTTTCTGCCATAAGGGTGGTGTCATCTGCATATATGAAGTTATTGATATTTCTCCCAGCAATCTTGATTTCAGCTTGCTTTTCTTCCCGCCCAGCATTTCTCACAATGTACTCTGCATATAAGTTAAATAGGCAGGGTGACAATATACAGCTTTGACTATGCCTTTCCCTATTTGGAACCAGTCTGTTTTTCCATGTGCAGTTTTAACTGTTGCTTCCTGACCTGCATACAAGTTTTTCAAGAGGCAGGTCACATGGTCTGGAATTCCCATATCCTTCAGAATTTCCCACAGTTTGTTGTAATGCACATAGTCAAAGGCTTTGGCATAGTCAATAAAGCAGAAATAGATGTTTTTCTGGAACTCTCTTCTTTTTTTGATGATCCAGCAGATGTTGGCTATTTGATATCTGGTTCCTTTCCCTTTTTTAAAACCAGCTTGAACGTCTGGAAGTTCACGGTTCACGTATTGCTGAAGCCTGGCTTGGAGAATTTTGAGCATTACTTTACTAGTGTGTGAGATGAGTGCAATTGTGTGGTAGTTTGCTATCAAAGCAGTGCTCAAAATTCTCCAAACTGGGCTTCAATACTGTGAGAACCATAAACTTTTAGTTCAAGCTGAATACCAGAGATCAAATTTCCAACAGCCTTTGGATCAGAAAAAAAGCAAGAGAGTTCCAGAAAAACATCTACTTATGCTTCATGACTATTCTAAAGCCTTTGACTTTGTGGATCGCAACAAAGTGGAAAATTTTTCAAGAGATGAATTGAGACACCTTACCTGCCTTCTGAGAAATCTGTATG